TCAGCATCTACAATAAGTTTTTAGTTAAATGAGTTACAACAACACCTAATTTCCCTCTAGGATCAATAAAGTATTTTTGAATTGAATTGCATTGAATTTGAAGAGTGCACTCCAGTGGGGGGGATCTCGATTTTCCCAAAATTAAATCGTTATACACAGCAAATTCAAATTAATCGTTAAAATCGATTTAACGCCCAGCCCTATGTTGAACAGTTTCTGAGTTATAAGCATTTTTGCATGTCCAGACACCCCATCTTTGAAAGGAGCCCCCTCCTCAAATATGGGGTGTATCGTAAAGTTGTTAGCTGGCGCAGTGTAGGTGAGACTCTTCAACAGTCCTGCCAAATTTCATGTTGATCGGTGCAGCCATTTTTGTGCTACGGTTGACCAAAAATCACTGAAAAAAAAGTACGGAAACAATATGACTCCCGCTACGCTTTGCATGCTGGGGGTCATATTAGAGAGGGGGAAAAGTATTTAGTCAGCCACAAATTGTGCAAGTTCTCCCATTTAAAAAGACGAGAGAGTTAGACCTCAACTATGAGAGACAAAATGAGAAAATTAGCTAGAAAATTACTTTGTCTGATTTTTTAAGAAATTTGGTTGCAAATTATGGTGGAAAATAAGTATTTGGTCAATAACAAACAAGCTAGATTTCTGTCTCTCACAGATCTGTAGCATCTTCTTTAAGAGGCTCCTCTGTCCTCCACTAATTACCTGTAGTAAGGGCACCTGTTTGAACTTATCAGTATAAAAGACACCTGTTCACAATTTCAAACAGTCACTCCAAACTCCACTCTGGTGAAGTCCAAAGAGCTGTGTAAGGACATCAGAAACAAAACTGTAGACCTGCACCAGGCTGGGAAGACTGAATATACAACAGGAAAGCAGCTTGATGTGAAGAAATCAACTGTGGGAGCAATAACTAGAAAATGGAAGACCTACCAGACCACTGATAATRTTCCTTGATCAGGGGCTCCATGCAAGATCTCACCCCGTGGGGTCAAAATGATCACAAGAACAGTGAGCAAGAATCCCAGAACCACACGGGGGACCTGGTGAATGACCTGCAGAAGGCTGGGACTAACGTAACAAAGACTACTGTCAGTAACACACTACACCACCAGGGACTCAGACCCTGCAGTGCCAGATGTGTCCCCCTGCTTAAGACAGTACATATCTGGGACCATCTAAAGTTTGCTAGAGAGAATTTGGATGTTCCAGAAGAGGATTGGGAGAATGTCATATGGTCAGATGAAACCAAAGCAGAACTGTTTGGTAGAAACACAACTCTTCGTGTTTTGAGGAGAGTGAATGCTGAGTTGCATCAAAAGACACCAAACCTACTGTGAAACATGTGGTGGACACATCATGCTTTGGGGCTGTTTCTCTGCAAGGGGACCGGACAACTGATCCCGTGTACATGAAAGAATGAATGAGGTCATGTATCATGAGATTTTGAATGCAAACCTCTTTCTGTCAGCAAGAGCATTGAAGATGAGACATGCATCTTTCAGCATGACAATGATCCTAAGCACCACCAGGGCAACAAAGCAGTGGCTACGTAAGAAGCATTTAAAGGACCTGGAGTGGCCTAGCCAGTCTCCCGATCTCAACCCCATCGAAAACCTTTGGAGGGAGTTGAAAGTCTGTGTTTCCCAGCGACAGATTCAAATCCTCACTGCTCTAGAGGAGATCTGCATGACTATGAGATTTTCTAGACATGTTTTCTCATTTTGTCTCTCATAGCTGAGGTCTAACTACAGGCCTCTCTCATCTTTTTAAGTGGGAGAACTTGACCAATTGGTGTCTGACTAAGTACTATAATTCCCCACTGTACATTAAGAGACTATTAAAAATTATTTAAAAAAATAAATAAAACCTTTTATATTGTTTTAAATATTTGCACTTTTATTTCTGTAGTTGTTTTTAACAATAAAAGCACTGGTCTTTAAATCTGTAATGAATCTTCTCACCGCAGCTTCTATAAACTTTTACTGTGTTACACTGATCTGAGGGTGCATGACTTGCTGACAACTTTAATTCCTTTATGTTTAGATAGCTCTTGCTCCCTTTTGTTTGGATAGGCTCTCATGTCTGTGGTTTGTGTTTTTTCTCTCTCTGCCCTCAGGTGTTTGGTTTGTTCCTGTGGATTGTGTGTTGGACAGATCTCTTCTACACATTCCACGAGCTGCGGCAGGGTCATAGCCAGCCACCCATTTTCTTCATCACCCCCCTGGTGCTCGGAATGACCATGGTGAGAAACACACATGGCACATTTCGACATGATGTTTAATAAAAGAGTCACGCAATCTCTAGGACCGTTGGCACAGAACATAGATTTCACTGTGGCTAGAGAAATCACTTTTTTACATATGCAAATTGAAACTACAGAGCATACAGTGAGGTCACGTGTATGCAGGGATGACAGATAAGTCAGAGTCTGTGCTGTATAGATGACAGAGTGGTGCCCCCACTGTTGTTGCAGTATTGACCTTCATAGTTAAAGTGGAATGTCTAGTTATTATGTTACGAAGAGCTCATAAGGATTAAGAAAAACAAGTCCACAAAAATAACGAACACATTGTAAGAATATAATTTTGCTTCGAGAAATGGAACACAGAAAAGCCTCTCAAAAAGATACTTGGTCCATTTTGAAGCAGTTTTGTCAGAAAACATTATGAACAAACATTTTCTTATTCAGTTTGGAGGAAAAGAAAAGGATAGACAGGCTCGCTCAAATGTAGCCAATAATTGTGAACGTCTGTCGTCTAAAAACAGCTTCAGTCTTTAAAATAATATAGGGCTGCAGCAACGAATCGATAAAATCGATAAAAATCGATTATTAAAAGCGTTGGCAACGAATTTCATTATCGAATGTTGTGTCACGGGATTTATGCGTCCCTCACCGTGTCGCGGAGCTGATTACGTCACCCGCAGAGCGTTGTCAGTGCTGGCTGACCTAAATAAAGTTTAGGAAGAAAGAAAAAACTCTACCTGTAAAGAGCCTCCCTCTCTGACTCTCGAGTAAAAAGCAGAGACTACGAACTTTAAATCAGTTTTTAAATCGTGTTGTTAGGCCAAGTACAGTAGATCTTAAGATATGGTAAAAAGTATCTGTTACATTTATTCTTTTTAAAAGACGTCTGATTTGATGCGCGCCGCGTCGCGAGGAGGAAATGCATGCAGGGGAGGAGGGAGACCTTAAATCCACCGTTCCATCCTCCTCTCTGGACAAAAGTATAAACTCTCTTTTATACAAAAGTATAAACTCTCTAGTTTTTTCTGACTGAGTATTGTGAGAATAAAGTTGAAATATTATGCAAAAATGTCAATTTATGAGAATATAGTCATATTATGAGAACTTGAAGCAGTTTTACCTCTGTGTTAAAATGAGAATTGTTGAGTATCTTGTGAAGTTATATTTTAGTGTCAATTTTACAAGTAAAGAAAAACTTAGTCTTTTAACACATCAGCATCAAATTATCAGTAGCAGGACTTTGAAAGAACTGTGCAAATGACTATATGGATTTATATGATAAACTGAAGCTGTATGAGATTGCAATTAACGGCTGCATTGATCAATTTAGATATTACATAATGTGGATGGAAGCGGTTTACACTAACAGTGACCCAAACATAATCTCGGACTACTTCAAAAACACAGTGACACATATTGGATGTTATCCACAGCAAGTCTGGCCAACCAAGGAACTGTAAATGGACATCATGTAATATTATGACTTTTTTCCTCTTAATATTACAATTTTATTCTCGTAATATCATGACTTATTTCTTGTAATAAAAAAACTAATATTGCCGTGTGGTCCTAATACTCTGTCGTACTCCACAATTCTGATGCCCAGTTTAAACTTCAGCATTTCTTCTTCACCATGTCTACATGCCTAAATGCACTGAGTTGCAGCCATGTGATTGGCTGATAAGCAATTAGTGTTAGCATGCAATTGGACAAGCTAATAAAGTGGCTGGTGAGTGTGGTTTTACCAAAGGAACATGACTGCAATGATGAAGACTTGTATGCTAGCAATGAGCGAATAAACTAATTATAGAAAGATTGACAGAAGGTTTTGAATATTTGAGTCTGTTAAAATATGAATTTCATAATTCAGAAAAATGCATCCTCAGAAAGTTCTGTACTGAGCTCCACTAAATCCAAAACATTTGTGGATTAGCATGTCTAACTCTGTGTTTGGGGGACAGTTTTCAGTGAAAGGCCGACCTCGTCAGCGTGCAGTTAACCTCACATACCCTCTGTTATTCTGGCGTTGCTTATCTAACTCAACCTCTCCCCCTTCCCCATGCCCACATTTCACCCTCCCCCCCCCCCCCCCAATCCTTCCTCAGCTGTTGGCCACATTTCTGATCCAGTATGAAAGATTACGTGGAGTTCAGTCCTCAGGGGTCCTCTTCATCTTCTGGTTCCTGTCTGTGGTATGTGCCATTGTGCCTTTCCGCTCCAAGATCCTAAAGGCCTCCAGGCAGGTGAGAATATTTTTATCACTGTGTCGTAGCTGTTTGTTGTAACAGCCTCAACACCACCCTCATACCTTCTTTACCTGTTAGTGTGTAAAATTCTTCTCTTTTCCTGTTTTTCTATGTAGTTTTATTTAGCTCCTCAACCTCTTACACCTCTGAGGGTTGATGGTATTTAAGGACACTTGAGCAGTCGGTGTTGGCAGCGTGTTAGCTCAGTGTTGTTTTTAGGAGGTGCTTAGGAGTTTACGTGAGTAAATGTTTTGAGGAGGTCAGCTCAGGCTACCGTTAAGCTCACAGATGCGAGGGAATAGTTGGCTTGTTGTTCATAGCCTACTTATCTTACGTTCAGTTTTCATGGCTCTGCAACAGGATTGTAGCAAACCCTGCAGGCTGCAAGGCATGACAGTCTGTGGTGTTACAATGTGATGAAAACACACACAGCTGTAAAAAAAAAACCAGACAACATTCCTTGCATGTGGCGCTTTGGATCTTTGTGTTCTGGTTACTTCAGTACAGTTCTCGTTAACACCTCAACCTGGCTAAGGATTTTGACTCGTGGCTTTCTGACTAGTTGGCTTCTAATCTGCTTGAAACACAAGTCTCCAATAAGACTTAGAAGGAAAGTGATTAGTGAACCAGTTGCCAGCTTTGCTTCAAACGCTAAGACGTGTTGTTTTTAAGCAAAAAATGTTATTTAGATTTAATTCACAGGTTCTGATTTTTACACAGAAAATATGGATCAAAGAGTTGTACCTTTTGTTGCAACAAGCATGAAATTTTACTTCAAAGATGACTGAACAGAGAGTTGATTAAAGCTGCATTAAATAATCCTTTATTTATACTGACATTGGACAGTGTATCCAGGGACGCAGACAGATAAATATTATTGATTACTGGTCCAGGTGTCAGCTCTATGGGACAAAAACCAAAGTAAAACACATTATTAACAACAGTACCTACAAATACAAACATGAAGCATAAAGAGAGTAAAGACAGCAGCAGAGTCAGGAAGTGTGGTCAGTATATCTTACTGCAGTCTAAAGACTCTTTCACAAAACACTTCAAGGCAAGAATTAGATGCTCTCTGGCCATTTTGTGTGATTTCTGAATGGATGGCGGRATCAAGAAGGGTTGAGCAATATTGTTGGGCCCTATAAAATCCATTTTATTTTTTCCCAAATTCKGTTTTTTCCATTTTAATTTTTCCAAATTCCACTTTTTACATTTTTCCCCCTGAATTCCACATTTTAATTCAAATCTTACTTATTAACATAAAAAGGGTTTGATTATAAAGTGATTGAAAAATAATTTTACAAATGAATAGTCACAGAATTTACAATTTAATGACTGTTATGCTACTTTCACAAATATAAAAAATTGCTTTGGTTCAGCAGAAKATTAAATGCTTTTTCAAGGTTACCAAAAGATGTTTGTCTATTTTAAAAGAACAAAAGACTTTCTGTGCAGAAACGTTGCAGCTCACATTAACATATACATGTTGTATATTTTTGTAAACAAATTTTAAACAAACAAATTTAAAAAAGTGCTTCAGCGTTGGACTCATGCATCTTAAACAAAAATACTTTAAATCTGAACAATTCCTTCACAAATGCCTACTGAACAGGATCTTATCTTCAACAGTGTTTACCTTGTGTTTTTAAAGAACAAAAGTTGCACAAAACAAAAAATCTCAACTGTTTCACATTTTAAGAACAATTGTCTTCCTTTTGTAAAATAAAAGTGCTTTACAGATCAGACGAACAGAAAACTAAGTCTCATAAAGAAAATCTGTAAACAATAAAACTTTGTGCACACTTCCTTATCAAAAAGGACCATATTTTGTATTTAAGTGTTCCATCTGTCACAGACATCTCCATTAAAGTACATGATTGCCAGTCGTTTTGTGTTGATCTCTGTAAGTGATTCCCGCTTGTCTGTGAGCAGAGTCTTGTATTTGCTGAAACTCCTCTCACAGTCAACAGAGCTGACAGGGATCACTGGCATCACACCTCTCAGAACCTCCCTGTATGCTTTCAGGCAGTAGGCTGCATTGTCTGTGACCACGGCCAAGACATCATTGAGATCCAGTTTATTGT